GTCTCTGTAGGTCAGAGGCTTTGCTGGGCTGGGAGGGCCCCTCGCCTGCTCCCCACATTGACGGGCAGACGCCAAGGCCAGTTAGTGACACAGTGGAGATTAGATTGGGTGGATTTGTAATCCTGGCTCTGGATGACCTCAGACAAGATCCTCAACTTCCCCCAGCCTCAGTTTCCTCGCCCGGGAAACGAGTAGTGATGGCTCGGACCTCGAGTGACGCACGGCAGGCGCGGCCCCCCGACCCAGCGCTGCCAGCCTCCCTCTCGCCACTGCCCATCTCCAGGGCCCCACACTGACTAGTCACCCCAGACTCGCTCCCTCGGCACCGAGGTACAAAGGTGAAGAAAACTGCCCGATCCTGTCCAGGAGCCCAACTCAAGAACAATTCATGAACTGCCAGGACCTCAGCATCTGGACCTTCCGGAGCTGGGTGTAGGGTGGGGCAGAGATGGAGCCTCAGGCTGGGGATTTCTAGGGACCACAGGGGCAATCTCTTGTGGACAGGACGGGACATTGAGGCCTCAAGAGGGACCTAGCCCTGCCCAGGGGCAGCCAGACAGGTGGTGGCGGAAGCAGACGTGACTCTAGCCTCCCCACCACCTCCCCACCAAGATTTTCAGTGGCACGGAAGTCCCACACCAGCTCCGCTGCCCACAGGGACCAGGTCCCGGAGCAGAAGTCCCGGCCAGCACCGGGGCAGCAGAAGGTTGCCCAATACCAGTCCCAGAGGGTCAGATGCCTGCCCCCAGTCAGCAGCGATCCCATCTGCAGGTGGTAAAAGGCAAGGTCGCAAACCCCTTCCCAGCACTCCCCAGACACACAGGATGGAGTCGTGCAAAGGACTGAGAGGGGACCAGGGCCTGAGGAACCCGCAAGTTCCCTCCACCTTGCGTCCTGACAGCAGGTCAGCTGGCCCTCCTGCCACAGCACCTTCTGAACAGACAGGTCAGGGTGCCTCCAGCAAGAACACTCCAAAGAGGAATTCCCAGCACCTGGAATTGTTCAGCAGCTGGTCAGGGACAGGGGCAGGGTCTCGACGCCCTTTCAAGGGTGTCCCTAGTGACCCAAGGACCCAAATTTATACAGAGTGAGGGCAGCAGTGGGGAGAGGTCTTCCTAAGCATTCCCACCCAACCTCTTCTCTGTCTCCTCCACCGTGCCTCCCCTCGGTCAGGGAAGTCTCCCAACCTCTTCTCTGTCTACTCCACCCTGCCTCCCCTCGGTCAGGGATGTCCCCCAACCTCTTCTCTGTCTCCTCCACTGTGCCTCCCCTCGGTCAGGGATGTCTCCCAACCTCTTCTCTGTCTCCTCCACCGTGCCTCCCCTCGGTCAGGGATGTCTCCCAACCTCTTCTCTGTCTCCTCCACTGTGCCTCCCCTCGGTCAGGGATGTCTCCCAACCTCTTCTCTGTCTCCTCCACCGTGCCTCCCCTCGGTCAGGGATGTCCCCAGAGGTAGAAGTGCCCGGCCAAGACTGCTCACGGCTGCCAGCCCAGTCTACTGCCACGCCCCTGCGGCCCGCCCTCACCTGCCGGGACTATTCTAGGGAGGAGCAGGGCCCCCACGCCCATATATGTTGCTCTGAACCCACTTTGTCAACCCACTAACCCTAAAATGGGCTTGGGGTACAATCAAAAGTAGGTGCTGCTCACACAGAACAGCAGGAAGGGGTGTGAGAGGAGGTCCGGTCCAACCCGGAGCCAGCGGTCCTGGGATCCGGCTCAGCCGCACGCAGAGCTGGGCCGTGCATGCGCCTCTGCTCTTCCGGTCTGAGGACTGAGCCAGGCAGCAGGGACAAGCCAAGCTCAGGACCTGGCCCGCAGAGTGTCAGCAGGCGTTTCCTCAACGTGGGCCTGTCATTCCCCAGTCTGGCTGCAACCCCTCGGTAGGGAGGTGTGATGTTGGGGACAGAGTGGGCAACCTGGGTTCCAGACCCGGCCTCACCAGCATGTGCCTGGGGGTCCAAGAAGGGTCCTCTGCCTCTAGGCCTGAGTCTCTCCTTCAGTAAAATGCAGTGATCAGACAGCTGTCAACCCCAGCACTGCAGCTACCGACTCCAGCCCAGATGAGGCTCAGACCCCACACAGCCAGGTCACTGAATGAACGCTGGTACCCGAGGTGGGACCACAATTTTTCTGCATCTGAAATTCATAGCATTGGGATTTGGGGACCCAACCTCAGTTTGCTCCTCTGTAAAGTTGCCACAAATGAGATAATATATTCAGAATGAAATGCCCACAGTCCAGCTCCAGCAGGGAAATTTTCTGCCACCACCCCCAGAGACTGGGAGGGAGCTCCTCCCCCCAGCCCATGGGCCTGCCCCTTGTAGGCCCTCAGGCTACACAGGACTGCATGGTCCGTGGAAAGAGCCTGGGTCTGGATGACCAGCAAGGTAATCAGACAGAGTTCCAGAAGAGTCGTCAGCTCAGCGGAACAGATGAACTACTCTGCTCTGCCCTGGTCAGGCTCAGGGCCTGGCGGTGGTGCAGGCTGGTGGGAAGGACTGGGAGCTCCTCAGGGCAGCGCCTGGCTTTCTGGATAAGTCCTCAGCGAAGCTCCAGGTCCCTAAGTCCACCAATGTTGGTGGACACATGGAGTCTCCCCTGGCAAAGGCCGTGGCCTTGGGAAGTGTGAATGCTGGGTCACCGGAGAGGTGAAGGTGGCCTCACACTCCCAGACCCCGGGGCCTCACTGCTGCTCCCCACCTCCCCTCCCAGGCTTCTCCCTCTCTGGCACCACCCTCACCAACGCAGCCAACCTGCTGCATCTGGCCCAAGGCTGCCCTCTCTGAGGTGGGCCAGCAGGCCTGCTGGACTGGGCTCCTGCGCACACAGTAGCTTTGCGGCCTGCGATGCTTTGTCTGGAAATGAGGAGACTCGAGCGCAGACACTGACCCTCTCAGGGTGAGACAGCCTGAAGCAAATCGCCTCCACTCACCTCCTGCCCTCACTGAAGGCGCAGCTTCCGTTCCAGAGTGCCTGTTCTTCCGTCCCCTCACCTCTGCTGGCCCCTCCCGCATCTGACTGCCCTGCGAGGCCAGCTTCCGGTGACGCCGACTGTCAGATCCCCCACACAGCGCCCTTCGCACGTGCTGGCCCCTGCCCGGACCCCTGCCTCTCCTGCCTCTGGGTGTATGCCCGCTCTTCTCCCTTCCCCTCTCCAAGCAGCCAGCCTCAGGCTCCGCTGGCCACGGCCACCCCCACCGTCTCCTAACGAGGAAAAGGGATGATGTGTGGACAAAGTGCAGGCGGCTGGGTGGGCACCGGCTGGCCCCTGCCAGTCTGCCACAGCCGAGGAGCAACTGCAGCCGGCAGCCCTTCGGCAACGACGACACAGCGTGCTTATTACAAAATATCTTTTATTGATAAAATAGCTCAGACCTTTAAAAAAACAACTGCATATCACAATAAGGGGGCCACAGGCAACAATATCAGGGGTGCCCTAGGGCACAGAGATCAGTCAGCAGATGTCACACGTCAGCCCCTCCCTCAGGCCCACCTACCTACCCAGCGCCACCCCAGGGCAATGCCCTGGCCTCACACTAAGGAACAAATTGAGGGATTCTCTTCGGTCCCTTCCATTCTCTCTAACCCAGAAAACACCTTCAGCACCCCTCCCAATCTGGCCAGGTCCATTAGAGTGCCAACAGTGCCCTGTGGCTTGGCTCCACCCCCAGTGAAGATCCCACTGGCATAAGGTCCCCCCTTCTATGGGAAACATCCTTCATGTGCTTCAAACTGCTCTGGGTTCAAGGGTCTGGGTGGTGGCTGAGAACAAGAAAGAAGAGGCCCCTGGAGCCCCATCAGTGGGGTACAGCCATACGGCTGGGTGGGAGGTGGCCAGCCAACATCCTTCTGGGGTGGGATCAGCTGTGCATCACAGGGACCCATTGGGGCTCAGAGCCCTTCCTGGTGCGAGGCTCCCCCAGGGGTCCTGGGGGCCCTCGCTCACCTGCTCCAGCCCAGAACCCTGCTTGGGGGCTGTCACGCACCACAGGCTCTCATGTCAGACTCTTCCCAGGGTATGGGTATTTTTAGCTATCTTGGGGAAACAATTTGCCTTCTTGATGACAAAAGACTTATCCCCCACTGGGGGGCCCAAGCCACAGAAAACCCTCTTGGTGTTGCAGGTAAAATGTCAAGAAGTTGTCATGCAGCATAATAACTCAAACCTTTGCAGGCACAAGAACGCATTTTCAAAGAAATCCTTTAACTGGAATAGGGTTCTGTCTGCCACTCCTCACTTCCAGTTTGGGGCAGGAATTCACACCCCAGGCCAGAACAAAAGTCTATAGGAAGACAGGCGGTGGTAAACACAGAGAAAGGGAATTTTCATATCACCAAATAGTCACATTTTCTGGTTCTCTAGGTTCCCCCATGGAGCTCAAAGCTTTGTGCAATGCCTTTCATCTCCCTGCAGCAAGTAGGCGGCAAGCTATTGTTGCCCTGGATTTTGCAGGGGGTGAATGCTAGTGATCAGGGATGTCCTGTTGAGGCAGAGGCCAGGCCTCCAGAGGGGCTCCAGGTGGGACACGGATCACAGTTCTGGCTTTCAAAGTAGGGGGAAGGGGAAGAAGGGCCCAGGGACAGTGCCAGTCTATAAACCCTCACCCAGTGCCTGATGGGGACCACGGGCACTCAACACAAATGCAAGGCCATCGTTTGTGCCTCCTCCTCAGCCTCCTGGAGAGAGTGGAAGGCTAGCTTCCTGCTCTTTACTGGGCAAGATGGAAAAGAAACAAAACACCACCAGCAAGTGGCTTGCCAGGAACCACAAGGTCCTCGAGGAAGTTTGCAGGGTCCTGAGGTTCCGAGAGGGTGGTGCTCTATCCCAGCCTGGCCTCAGCCACACTCAGGAAGGCCCAGGCCTCCTCCATCTGCCTGCACTCAGGCAGGGCGTGGAGGAGATGTGCCCCAGAGCCAAACCAGCAAGGGAAAGCTTAGGATAGACCCCTGTGAACAGTACCCCTGCCCTTGCCCCTCCCAGGGTGCTCCCAAGATAAGGCCTGTAGTACCTGGGCAGAGACCAAACAGCCCCAGGGAAGTGGCCACATAAAACAGGGTAGGAATCAGTGTGGCCCTGGTGCTACCTGGCACCAACCCCACCAGGGCAGCAGGCAGGCGGCTCACCAGGCCGTCTGGGTCCACTGGCGGCAAAGGATCCTTCGGAAGGCACGGCGGAAGTCCTGGTTGAAGATGGTGTAGATGACAGGATTCAGCGAGCTGTTGCAGTAGCCAATCCAGAAGAAGAACTGGAAAAGGCCATGGGGCACCTTGCAGTGCTGTGGGCAGATGGCACCCAGACTGTAGCTGAAGAAGAAAGGGAACCAGCAGAGCACAAAGACGCCTATGACCACGGCCAGCACAAAGGTGAACCGTTTCTCCCGGGTCAGCTGAGCCCGCTTACGCCACCACCGTCCACCTGCAGCACCCACTCCCCTGCTCAGGAGCACCTGGCCACGGAGGGTGGCCAGCACTTGGGAGCCCTGTGGCTGCTGCAGGGGTGGACTGCAAGCTGAGGCAGGGGACGCTGGCAAGGCCTGAGGCTCACACTGGTCGTCCTCCTCCTCTTCCTCCTCCTCTCCAACATCCTCCTCTGGAAATGCCTCACAAACGCCTTCCTTCAGCCCCTGGCCTGCATGGGGAAGGGCAGGCCAATTGGGTGGCAAGACTGGGTTCTCAGGATCTTCGGGGGTCCCTCCATGCTCTTTTTCCCCAGTTGGCTTAGAGTGTCCATTGGCCTCTCCAGAAGCAGCCGAATGGGAGGCCAGGCTTGGCAGTTTGGCAGAGGCTTCCCCAGGGACAAAGCGGGGCTGTCTAGGTTCACCATCCCTGGGTCCCCTCTTGGCCCTGGGACCTCTGCGGTGGCTGCGTTTAGCAATCACGTAGATGCGCAGGTAGACGAGGATCATGATGAGGCAGGGTGCGAAGAAGGACCCGATGCTGGAGGCCAAGATGTACCAGGCCTCTTGGTTGAGCTTGCACTGTGGGCGCCCGCGGGGCTGAGGACCTGGGTCGCCCTTGTAGACGAGGGGCGGCAACGAGATGACAGCGGCGATGAGCCACACGGTGAGGATGATGCACTTGATGCGGCGTGGGGTACGCTTGGAGTTGTACTCCAGAGCGCGGCTTACCGCCCAGTAGCGGTCCAGGCTGATGGCGCACAGGTGCACGATGGACGAAGTACAGAAGAGCACATCGAGAGCCAGGTACACCTCGCACCACATTCGCCGGAAGTACCAGTAGCCCAGCAGCTCGTTGGCCAGCGAAAAAGGGATGATGAGCGTGGCCACCAGGATGTCAGCAGCGGCCAACGACACCAGGAACAGGTTCTGCGGAGCGCGCAGGGAGCGGCTGGTCAGCACCGCCAGGATGACTAGCGCGTTGCCGAAGATGGTGAAGAGAATGAGGAAGGTGATGACCGCCGCGATGGCCGCGGTGGCTTGCACCGAGTAGGGCTCCTGGTGGTCCATGGCAGAGCGGGCCAGAGGGGACGTTGCTTGCCCAGCGCGAGCACAGCAAGCGACAGTGTTGGCCCACCCAGCGCGTCTAGACAAGGGGGTCACCCCTCTGGCGGCGCTGAGGGTGCTGGAGCCCCATGGCCAGGCCAAGCGGGACCTAGGAGGTGGGGAATACTGGGGCCAGGCACTGCCCTCCTACATCCTCTTCCACCAGCGCCTGGCGTGCCTGCCGTCCACCCGGAGAAGTTTTCCAAGTTGTCCCGTTGCCTTGCCGACCCCGCCCCACCAGGGACCGGGGAAAAGTTGTGTCCTCCCACCTCGAGGCTGCTGGACGCAGGTGGCGCGGGGTCCCACGGGCTGCGGGGGCGCGCGCCGCCTGTTCTCGGAAGAGGCGCGGTGGCTGCGGCGCCCGCTCGCTCGCTCAAGCCGGAGCCGCGCCTGCAGGCAGCCCGGCGGCAGGGGAGTGGGGAGCCGAGCCGCGGCTGCAGGAGGGAGGAGACTGGAGGCGGAGGCAGGAGGCGGGGCAGGCGCGGGGCGGTGGCGGGCTTCGGGCTGCGGCTGGGTGGAGGGGCGCCACTCCGAGGACTGGGGTCTGCAGCCTTCCCGCGTCTTTCCCACCCGGCGCGTCCCCCCTTTCCCGGGCCTCCCAGAGCCGGGGTCCGAGGGGCTCCGCATCTGGGGTCTTCGGGACGCTGGGAAGGATGCTTACAGGAGTGGAAGGGTCCGTGCGCGCAGGGAGCAGGGACGCTGCGCGGGCGCGACCGCGAGCACTGAAAGGACCTCTCTCCTAAGGACTGCGGGGCTGGGGCCGAGCCTGGGAGGCTAGGACGGTGGGCGCGAGTTGATCTCTGCTCCCGTAGCCCAAGATCCCCAAGGAGAGGGTGGGCGCTGGAGCACAATAAACCGCAACCACACTGGCGCCCAAGAAATATGAAGCCGAGCGGAGGAGGTGGGGGAACCGGGAGGCTGCCGGAACCCCGTTTCCTGATGCGTTCCCGCCCCGACTGGGCTCCGTCGGGCCTGCGGAGCCCGGGAAGGCGCGCGTGGCCGGGTGGCGAGCGCCCCCTGCCGCCGTCTGCGGCTGGCCGGCCCACACAGCACCGCCGCGCCCGGGGACCCAGAAACGCTCGAAGCCGGTGGAGCAAGCGAGTATTCAGAGATTTATGGCTTCAGCTGCCCTTTTTCTCCTGGCTGCGTCGGTTTCCTCCACTAAGGGCAAAGATGAAAACTGGCTTGGACTCAAATCTCAGCAGCAACCCGGACGCTGACACGGGTCTGTTGGGGGCGGGGTATGAGGGGTCTCTAGGCAATCTCTTGACCAATAGGAAGAGGATGTCCCCTGGTGCCGAGCAAGGAGACTTAGAGGGGGTCTCAAGGAAAAGCGGGTCTCAGGGGCAGCTGTGAAGGGAGCTGCCCTTGCTCCTTGTCCGGTCCCGCTGACTGCGCACGTGCACTCTGTGCGCCCCTCTTCGGTGGTGGCCGTAGGAAGAGGAGTTGGGGTAAGAAGAAACTTCTGACAGCACACACCCTGCCCACCCCCATCTTGGCCTCGAAGAGCTCTGGAGCAGGGATCTTCCTCAGGCACCATGTCCCTACCCACTCTCCAACGGCCACCACCAGGGCCAGCCTGGGCAGCCTCCGGGGCCTTTTCTCCCCTTCCGGAACCCCTCGTGAATCACCCAGCCTAGCGCCTGGCCTCGCATTTCTAGTGCACAGCACGGCATGCCACCCTCTGTATAAGTATCTGTCCGCCTAGGGCAGTATGGCTGTGCCACAGGACCCACCTTGAGCCAGAGCGCCCACTGGACCTTTCTGCTCCACCCTCTGGGTGCCCACAAACAATGGCTCATCCCTACCCAGGCTCAGGTGGGCGGTATCCCAGATCCCCTAGCACGTGGTAGGGGTGGGGAGGTGTATTCCTCCTTGATCCTGGACTATCAGCCTAACCAGCCTCTCTGTTAGGTGGAGTGCCCACAGCCAAATGGGTCGTGTTGTCTAGGCTGTATTCCAAGAGGGCTGCCAGCCTCTCTGGCCCTACCCAGAGGCATCCTCCCCACTGGCTGGACTAGGCAGAGTCTGGACCCACAATTGCCAGGGATGGAGCAGTCTCAGTAACCCCTTCCATGAAGAAGGACAAAGGGTGACCACTGGAGCCTAGGGTGCAGCCACTTAAGTTGCTGCTTGCCGCCATGGCTCTGTTCTGTGGCCGTGCAGTCTGAGCACCCTGGGAGCCCAAACAGGCTTGGGAAGGGCCACTTTTCACCCTCTCCAACCATACCACTATCAGCCTTTGTCTCCCACCCTTTTTCTTAGACGCTAGGCCTCCAGGACCCTTCAGGAACTGTGGCCAGAGCTGCTCTACTCCCTCCCCTGCCCTATGCAAGTCCCCACTGAGGGGTTCTCACCTGGGCCTTCCTGGAGGGGCAGATCCGGGTCTACCCAGCACCAGGCCCTGCTGGGTGCCAGCCCAGGTGAAGACAGCCAGGGATGGTGTACAAGCACCCATGAAGCTCAGCCACCACTCCAGGCTCGTCACCTGCTGCCACCTTTCAGCCCCACCTCCCAGATATGCCTCTGGCTTTGGGGGCAGTGGGGGCCGTTATGTAACTGGATCCCTGCTCCTCTCTGCAGCTCTCCATCTCCCACACACATCTTCCAGCTGCCTGTTCCACCCAGCCCTGCATGAAGCAGAGCCTCGGGCCACAGCAGGGCTTCCTTCAAGTAGATCTGACTTTCCATTGTCAGCCTCTCCCACCAGGCAGAGTTCAGTCCCAGACCCACAGCCAGCCAGCAGCAGGAGCAGGCACTGGCCCAGCTTCCTGACCCCACCAGGCTACGTGTTGGTCCCTGGACACGCCCTGAGCTCCCGCATCTCTAGTCCTTTCTGGGTTCCGTTTGCTCTGCCAGAAACTCCTCACTCTTCCTCTGTGCTCGGCGGGCCCTAGCTCTCTTCAAGGCACACTCACCTGTCACTGCCCTCTCAGGCAGAAAGAAGCACCCTATTCTCCAAGGTCCTTGATTCGTGCACACAGCACGCCATGCTCAGACACAGTACTGATGGTGTCCAACAGGTTTACGGCATCGCTCCCTCCATCCGCGCAGACATCTCTTCTGTCCCCAGTATATGGCCAAGCTTAGGGAACGGTGACGGGAAGTGGCACATGGATCAATGGATGACATACACACGAGCCTTTCTCAGACAGGTAGTGTGCCCAAAAGAAGGTGCCCTCGAGGGCTGTCCTTGGGAGGGGGCCGTGGGGGAAGGGTGACCTAGTACCATCTTTCCCAAAGAAGGAAGACAGTTGTTCCGTCCTTGGCTGTGAGAACGCAGCCAGAGTCGTGCCATCTTAGCTGGAAGCCCCAGAGCCACTTCTTCTGCAGGCCTGAGAGGTGAGACTGTCCCCACATCCTCCCAGGCCAGGGTTCAAGCAGCTCAGGGCCCACCAAGATGATCCCCAACCAGGCTTTACCCCCAGGCTGTCTCAAAGCCCCAACCATTCAAGTCCCTGGGACCCTTCTCCCCAGACCACACTGTATGACCCAACCTCACCCCTTCCCAGACCCTTGAGCAGTGCCCTCTAATGTCAGTCATCTTCTCCCTCCATCACACTCACCGAACAAAACCCCAGCCCTGGTCAGAAGTAAATCATCCACCTTCTGCCTTTGACCAAGCGGCTGCCTTTTCCGGAGCAGAACACTCTCTGCATCGACTGGCCTGGCTTTCAGTTCATGACCACAAATCTCCAGACGTTCCTAGAGCTCAGTCCCCGCTTCGGAGTTGGCTGTGCTTTCACTGTCCTCCCCCACCTCCTGGGCCGTGCCTGCCTTGCGCTCAGGAGAAAGTGAAGCCAGCAGATGGGAGCTCCTAGCAGTCGGCTCCTTGGCCCATCATTCCAGGTCTAACAGCCTCAGACTTAACATGCTCATTGCCCTGAGCCCTGCCTCCCTCCTTGGTCCTGTGGGCAGTAACGGGTGGGGTGCCCTCCCCCGTGCATCCAGTCACGGGTGCGATTTCCTCAACCTCCAAAACACACCCCAAACCACCCGCTTCTGCCCATTTCCACTGCCCGGGTCGCTCCCGCCTGCACAGCTGCAGTGCTTCTGACTGCTCTCCCTGTCCCATCCACTTTCCACAATGCATGCAGAATGGCTTTCTAAGTATTAAATCAGATCTATCAGTCCCCTCCTCAGAACCCTTCAGCAGCTGCTCCCTGCTGCCCTTAGAATAACACCCCCCGCCCCCCACCCCCCGTGGCCTGGCCCTGCCTGTGCCCTGCTCTTCATCACCCCCTTCACACTGGCCTGACATCGTCCTCTTCCTGGATCAGGGCCTTTGCACTGGCTGCTCTTTCCCAGATTCTCACCGGATGCCTCATCCAGTCAATTAGGTCTCAGTTGAAATGCCAACACCCTGAAGGAATGCTCCTCTGCCCCAGCACTCACCAATCCCAGGTGCTTTCCTACCAGCCTGTGTCCCTTCCATCCCTCTCCCTACTCCTGAGTACTCTCCATGAGAATGAAAACCCTGCCTTGTTTACCATGCTATTCCCAGTGGCTGTAACAGCCTGCCCGGCATCTAATCCATAATAGATGCCTGTGGACGGAGTGAATAAATTGATGAGCCCACATAGCTGTGTGGTTGGGGATTGGGGAACAAGCCACAGACCCTGGGATGGAGTGGCTAGCCACCTGGGCTCTTGTTAACACCCCAGGGCCCCACGCATACCACAACCACATACTGGGGCCCCAGGGGCTTGGGGAACAGGCCTGGGTCCAGAGCTGGCCTGGGAATGAGCTCTGTAATGGGGACTTCCTAGGGAAGGACATGACAAGGACAGCCTTGTCCCTGATCACCCCCAAAGAGGAGGGGCACTCTTCCCTTTATACCACCAGGTTCAGCCAGCTCCCCTCACTCGCTGGAGTACAGATTCCAAGACCAAAGCCACATACTAATGGAGGTGCATGTTGGGAGGCCTCAGAGTTGGGAGGACCTCCTCCGACTTAGGTGGCCATTGGAAAAACCCAGCCCAGAGCCTTGGCTTGGCCACTCCAAGACCGAGAGGCTGTGAGGCAGTCACACTCATTTCTGACAAATGCGGTACTACAGGTGATGTGTCTATCTTAGGGTGGCCCGAAGACTTTGCTTAGGATGCTCCCAGGGGAGCTGTCACTCTGCGAGGCACGTGGCCAGAGTCCCCACTCACACTCTGCATTCACTCAGACACACGCTCCATGTCTGGGAGCAGCAGAGGACAGACTTCCCCCCGGTGATCCTTCCCTGAAGCTAATGCTGGAGGTCAGACTCCTGTTCAGTCCCAGAAAAATCCTTTCCCCAAGAGAGGCTGAAGGCAGAGTCTGCAGCGTCCTGGTGTGCCCACAGGTGTCCGGCAGGAGGCAAAGGCTGAGCCTCCGCCTGCACCCCCCTCTGGAGAGTGGGAATGACCCCGAGGGCCCTCTCAGGGCGTGGGGGTGTCAGAGGCGTGCATGTGTTATTCAGCACAGCCCAACTCCTGGAGCAAGTATCCAACTTTATTTCTGCCTCCCCCAAACATCTGAGGTGCCTGGCCCTACTGGGACAGGGCATGGGCTCCTGCCCCCTCCCACCCCAGGCCACAGCAGAGTGCCACCAGAGGGCTCCTGGCCTGCTCTCAGGCATCCCGGAGGTGTCCTTTGCTCCTGGAATTGCCCTCACCAGGGAGGCCAGGAGCTGAGGGAGCAGTGGGCTTGTCTGGAGGAGGACACACAGGGTGACTGTCCAGCCTCTTTCAACCTTTCATGGTGGTCTCTGGCCACCAGGGGAGACAGGACTCCTGGAAATAGCAATGCAGGGTGGAAAGGAGCTTTGAGTCCTGTGTTCAAGGTCTTCACATTCTTGCTGACTTTCCCACTGTGCAGTCCTAGAGGGCCCCAACCTCTTCCTTATCTCGCTATGGGTGACATCCTATGACTCTGGAGACTTCCTGAGCTGCAGGGAGGGAGGGAGGCTCTGAAGGCCTCCCGGAGCTCAGGTCTGGGAGCTGCCGGTACAGGCCAGCATCCCAGCACCAGGCATCAGGGACAGGAGACTGCTCCTAGGGTCCCAGCCCTGGGGCTCCCCTCAAGGCCTGGCCCGATAGGTGGGGGCAGTACCATTAGTCCATGCTTGGGGCTGGGATTTGGCACAGAACTTCCACAGCCTTGCAAGCTAGAATCTTCCTCACCCCTCCAGACCCTGTCCCTGGAACCCTGCAGAATGTCACCTCCCAGTCCCAGCATCTTCCAGGGCTGAGGGAGACATGAAAGCAGGTCAGGCCAGGTGTCCCCGACAGGCCCAGAGGGCCCCGTTGTCCCCAGGAACCTTTGGGGGACGGTGGGGGGAGGCAGAGGCCCGGGCCTCAGACAGGATGGTCAGACTAGGGTAGGAAGACAGGGGTGTCACTGAGAGGGGCCAAGTGTTTCTTGACCCAGCTGCTCTAGGCAGAGGATGCTCTCTACACCTGGGGACAGAAGCCACAGGCTTGACCTTTGGGTGTCCCCCTGAAGTGACCCAGACCTGGGTTCCCCAAAGCAGCCTGGATAGGTGCTGACTGGTCTTCTGCATCTAGAGACCGCGCTAGGGGGACAGTGGGCACCTGGGCCTACCGGGCCCGCTGCAGGGCACCACCAGGAGCACCTGGCTTTGAGCGTGTGGAGGAAGCCGAGATCTGAGGCCACCCTGCAGGGGCCTCCATACCGAGCTTTCCCAGGGCGGGGGGCTCCCACTCCAGTGGGCTCTCTGCAGCTTTGGGGTTCCTGGACTCTGCCAACAGTGCCTCTAGAAGCCGCTGCAGGTGTGGTCCCGAGGCAGGGGTGGGGCTCCCAGCGTTGCCATGGGCCTGGGCCCCTGGAGCAGGAAAGGCAGGAAGGCATGTCCCAGCATCAGGAGGCAAGTGTGTGACCCGCAGCCGAGAGCCAGAGCCGCCTTCGGCTGTGCCCACAGGGATGCCACCCCTCAGATATGCCAGCCCACCACGCCCCTGCTGAGCCCAATACCTTCTGGAGGTTCAAGTTCTGTTTACATGTAAGTCTTACATACATCTGGAATTTATTTGTCCATGACATGATTTGAGACCATTTTTTAAAATGGACACTAGTTGTCTTAGCCCTGGTTGTCTCTCCCAGCTCAGCCCTGCAACCTCATGCCCCACCACATGACCCTCATTGTATTACTTCAGTATGGAACCCTGTCCGGGTTCCTCAGATCCCTCTGCCGGTCACTCACCTCTCCCATGGGAGCCAGGGCCACTCTGGCTGCAGTCATAAAGCCGGAGGACCCGCGTGATGTCGGAGGTGCTCAGGTTCCATCGCTGACCTATGTGGGCATTGGGGGCCCAGAGCGGCGTGATGGTGGGCAGCCCACGCCGGCTGAAGGCAAGCCTGGAAGCCAGAGGCAGGGGACTGAGTCTAGATCCCAGCGGGCTGGCCAGGCGGCGCAGGGGTGGGGGCGGGGGCCTCACCTCCCATAGTGCATCACGGATGAGTAGTCATAGGGCACCAGCATGTTGTTGCTCCGAGATTTAATGAAATTGATTTCAAAGCCTGAAAAATATTTATCAATAGGGGAAGAACAGGCGGGGTAGGGTGGACTGGGAACTTCTGGGAAGGTGTCAGCTACCTACACTGAGGGTTCAAGGCAAGAGCCAAAGGCGCTTCTTTCGGCCCCTCCCGCTGCTGGGCCCCATCCCATCATGCTCTGTCCTGGGAGGGGTCCAGACCCCCAGGCCTCCTCATCTCAAGCTCACCTGGTATAAGACCAGTCTTCGTGGGACCTACAGCTTCTGCGAAGCCACTTGCTCCGAGTGCCTTGGACGTCCCTACCCACCAGGGGAGGTGCCTACTCCTTAGCCACTTGCACAGCTCAGCGTCTGCTGGGGTGAACCCTCATTCCCCACAGCAAACCCAACTGTTCTTGCCTTGGGCCAGCAGCACCCAACCCCCAGGTTCAGAGTCCAGCACTCCCCCTTGGTGAGAGCACCCACTTCTTCCTGTCACCTGGGTGCTCCGGGCCTGGGAGGGGCAGGGTTCCCTTCCCTGACTTCTCTCCTGTCCTTCACAGCCTCCACAGGAAGAGCTGCACCCTCTGTCTCTGCTCCCCAGCCCCCCAGGCCCAGCCACTTCCACGCCCTCCCCGGTCACCAGCAGCCCTCTCACCAGAATTAAATGGCATCCCATCACCTGCCTGAAATACTTGCCCCTAGAGAGTGCGTTCCTTCCTTTTAAAAAGCCCTTCAGTTATTAAACAATTTTGAATAGGCAACATAGTCATCTGGTTCAAAAATAAAAAGCTTAAGATATACAATATCTCCCACTCCATCTCCCTTCTGAACCCCTACACCCCCACCCCCACAGTTAATTATTGTCAGTAGTTTGCATATCCCAGCAGAGTTCGTTCTGTCCATATTACCTAAATACAAATATTCTCATTTTTCAAAATTCTTAAGCAATTTTCCCCATTAGGGTAGCACGTGTTTCCACCTGTTTTATTGTTAAGAAACAGCTCGAGTTCATTAGTGCTGTTGGTTTCCTAACTCATTGATTTCTGCTTTTACCTTCATTAATTCCCCCCTGCCTGCCTTTATTTTTTCTTAACTTGGACTGAAATGCTTCCTTTGTTCTCTTCCTTATTGATAGAAGTATTTAGTCAACACACTTTCCCTGAGCCTTGCTTGAGCTGTGAACCATTGGTTCCAATCCATCTACACGATTTTTTTCCTTAGAATTTCTTTATTTAACCCCAGAGATAAGAGAGAATTGGGGGGTGTGTGTGTGTAACAATTTCCAAGTGAAAGATGTTTTTGGTCTGATTTGTTATTAGTTTCTATTTTTTACTTTATCTCCTGATCAAAACATTTGTATTCCTCTACTTTTTCGAATTGGAAGTTTTATCGTTGTCATGTGGTAAGTGTTCACAAATCTTCCATGAACACTTGGGAGGGTTATAGTCTGTTTTCAGGGTAGAGTCACCATCACCGCCACTTCCCTAGACTAATTCTGATGTCCAATCTCCATGCCCCCAAGGGCACCCTTCTCTGGGACTCGGAGGCACCCACAAGCCTAACCCCACCGCAGCAGCGGGGGCGCTCCCTTCAGAAGCCCTCTGCTTGCAGGGAGCCTTCTGACTCCTCCCTTCTGCTTCCATCTCCTCTGCTCTCCTTCCCCATGAAGCAGTAGTCGCTCCTCTCACCTCCTGAATCGGGCTATCCCCCACAAGGTCAGGGTCTCCCCCAGGACCAGGATCGAACGCCTGGCGCCCAGCACACAGGCATCTGGTGCAGTGGCCCACTCCCCATGCTGCCTCGGTCCCACATGCCCGCCAGTGCCCCCTCACAGGCACTGAACCCCTACATCACTGCCCTCGGCCACCTGCATCTGGACATACGCAGCCCACTCCCTCTAGGCCGCTGCTTGGCTGGGCCCCTGCAGCCAGAACTCGGCCCCGCCCCCACCCACATGGCTGCGCACATCAGGGACTGCTAGTTGATCCAATGAACAAGGTTCCTAGGATACCAGCAACCCATCCTCAGGTAACCAACAGTGCTCATGAGTAGAAATAGTGATGCCCCAACCCCGGGTGGGTAGGTGAAGGCTTGAACACAGAGCAGCAGCATCTGGGTTGCTTCCCAGGTCCCAGAAAGAAGGGGCACCCTGCCCTCCCCATGAAGACAGGCAGACAGGCAAATGGTCGGGGAGATGGACAACCTGTTCCCAATAGCCAGGCAAGTCCTCAGACCCTGGACTACACCTGCAGCTCTCTCCGTGGACTCCCAGACCCAGCCTGGCTTGTGCGCCACCGGGCTTACCTGGGAGGACCTCGTTCCAGTTGACACGGATATAACGGTCCCGGTCGGCCCGTGAATGTTCATGCCAGAAGCCCAGCACATGCATGAGCTCATGCAGGACAATGCCCGGGCCCCTCTGGAGACAGGCGGGTGCCAGGGACACCACCTGCATCCCTCCACTGCGCCCCACGCTGGAGAAGCACCTGCAGCGCCATGAGAGGGAGCTGGGTAGGTGCCCATCCAGAGCTGGAGCAGACCCAGCCCCTCCCTCCTCCCTAGTCCCGGGATGAAGACCAACGTGGGGTCAGCGTCCTGGCCTCTAGCTCCAGGCTCACTGTTCCCAAGTCCCTTCACTGCCTGGCCTTCTGTGAAATGGGTGCACTGAACCCCATTACCAGCCTGGGTTGCAGAGGAGGTAGGAACTGATTGTGACAGGGTAACAGAAGCAGCTCACTGAGTGGACGTGCCCACACAGGGAGCCCGAAGCTAAGCTACCACACTCAGCAGCTCAGGCCGCTGATGAGCCAGGAAAGAGCATCCCCCTCATTTCACAGAGAAGACAGAAGAGGCTCCACGTCAGGGGACTTGCCTGGAGGCAGGCAGCTCCTACATTGTGGAACCTGGACCTGAGGCAAACCTGCACTCACTCGCCAGACCATGAGGTGTCCCGGGGAGGAGGGCTTCATGAAGGAGGATTGAGCACCAGCTCCCTCCCTCCCCACTTTCTGCAGTGAGTACTGTAGGTCCAGCTTACAACAGACAAGTCATTCAGAGTGAGGAGGGGTATTTGGACCTGGGCAATGGGCCCAGACATAGGTTTTAGACAACGGCTTAGTTCATTCAAGTCTGAACGAAGAAGCAAGCTGAGGAACTCACCCCCCCCCCCCACACACACACACACACACGTGCGCGAACACTTACCCAGACATGGGGATGACGGAGATGAAGTCTCTCTGGCCATGGTAGGCAACAAACCTGACACACGTGAAGCGTTCAAACTCGGCAAATGCCTGTAGAATGACCTTGCGGCTGGGCTCATCTGGGGAGGGGACACCTGGCTGAACCCCCAGTCAAGCCCCCAGAGCCCTCATACCCCCTGGAAGTCTGTATGCAGGGCAGGGAGCCGAGTTTCAAATTACTTCCAAATGGAGTATCAAGAAAAGGCAACGTGATTGTGGAGGAGGAAGAAGGCTGGGCTCCAGACAGACCTTGGCTGTGTGACCACTGTCCCTGAGCCACTTAGTCTCAGAATGGAGCAGATAGTCCCTAGATGTACCTTCCCATCGGCTCTTTCAGGATCTTAACTCACCCCCTCCCCCAGCTCAGGAGGCCCTAGGAATAAAAGGGGTTCTGCATCTATGAGGTTTTTCTGTTTATTTTGTTAGTTTGCTTTTTGTTTTATATTACACATAAGAGTGAAATCATGTTTTTTTGGTATAACTTTTTTCACTTAGCATGATACTCTCAGGATTCATCCATGTTGTTGCAAATGCAAGATTTCATATTTTTCATAGCTGAGTAGTATTCCATGGTATATATGTGCCACATCTTTATTTTAAAAAGAGGGTTTCCTGGGGGAAGGGCTCTCCGGGTGGTGCTGCTAGAGGGGCTGTGGGGATGTAGAGGAGGAGGAGAAAACTCAGGAACAGAGGCTGCACTGGGAATGGGGCAGGGCCAGGAAGGGGCAGCACTGGGCTCCCGGTGCTCACTTACCATACTTGCTGGAGAGCAGAAAGGGGACCTCCACCACACCCCCGTTTTTGGGCCACTTGTTGTTTGTAGATGACAACAGGCGGAAGGGACTCTGAGGAAAGAAGGCAGAGCTCAGGGACCCCTGGGGGACATAGACCAGCCAAGCTTTCTGCCATCCAGGGCGCCACACCTCAGGCCACAAGAGCCCTAGAAGATGTGAGCAGCAGGACACAGGCACGTGAGGGTGGGGAGGCCGTTAGAGATGGGATATAAGCTGGGAAGTCAGCCATGTGATTTGTGGTGCTCAACACAAGCCTTTATTCTATAAAACAGAACTTGCCACTGATTTTATCAAGCTGTTAAAACAGAACACTGGTCCCCGAAGAGGTTGGCTAGGAGTCCCAGCACCCCAGGGTGGTCTAGTTCAGAGGTGCTCGGAGTTTCACCAGCAGCCCCTCCCTGGAGCACAGCCGCTCCCGAGCACCCTAACTGTGTGGTTGAAAAGGGGGCCGGGTTCTCCCTGGCCTGACTCTAAGGCACTACCCTTGGCAGCTCCTCTTTTCCTTCCGCCAACCAAAACCTGTGAGGCACGGGCCACACAGCACCCAGCATGCCCAGCCCCGCAGGCCAAAGGTTTACGGGATTCTGCACTCACTGGGAAATGGGGAACAGGGGCCTCGGGGGCCTCCCCTGGCCTGTCTGCCTCGCCCTGCCCAGCCAGCTGCCCCAGCCCCACACTATGCCATCCACAGGCAGCCTCCAAACCACTGAGCAGCCTTGCTCTCATCGGGTCACCGTCCTATTCTGGAGCCTCTGCCACCCCGTGTCCTAAGAGATGGCATTGCTCTCCTGAACACAGAGTGTCCCTATTCCACTGGCTGGTCACCCCAATTCCCATCCAGCCTGCTCCCTTTTTTTTAGAGAGATTTAAAAAAAAATTTTTAATTGATTTTAGAGAGAGGAAGGGAGAGGGGAAGAGAGAGAAACATCAATGAGAGAACATCGACTGGCTGCCTCCTGCATGCCCTGCACTGGGGATTGGGCCCACAACCTGGGCACGTGCCCTGACTGGGAATCAAACCGGTGACCTCAGTGCATGGGTCAATGCTCAACCACTGAGCCACACCAGCCAGGCTCCCTTTCTTTTTTTAATGTTTTATTATTGACTTTAGAGAGAGAGGGAGAGAGATAAAAACATTGATGAGAGAGAAACATCAACATTAATTGGCTGCCTCCTGCATGCCCTGTGCTAGGGATCAAGCCTGAAACCTGGGCATTTGTCCTGACCAGGAATCAAGCCAGCAACCTCTTAGTGCATGGGTCGATGCTCAACCACTGAGCCATACCAGCCGGGCAGCCTGCTCCCTTTCTGACTCCGCCTGCTAGCCCCTGGCATGATGCTGTCCGCATTATTCCTGTTCTGTCTTCCCCAGACCACCAGCACCTCCCTACAGCCCCATCAGCTACTCTGCAAACCTGTGCTCAGCTCTACCTTCATCCCAATACTTCCTGAGCATCTCTCCTAGGCAGGGTACCAAGCTGGATCTAGAGGGCTCAAACCCCCTCCTTCAGGAAGCCCTCCCAGGCTACCACCCTTCCTTCACATTCAGGCTGGCTATTCCTAAAAGAACCGTCACTCTGATTTTATAAGAGGGGTATCTACCAACCTATGAGCAACAGAGACCTCTCCCATGACACACCCCAAGACAGCGGGAGTGGAGGAGGCTCAAAGAGATCTATCACTCCCTGTGAGGTTGTTCACACCCACTCACCGGCCGCAGGATGTCCCCCTCTAGGAGGAAGCTGCTCTCTGGTGTCTCCTCAGGGATGAGCCCTGGGAAGGAAGGAGAGAGGTGTGTGGGCCCAGGCCCCCCAAGAGCACATGGCTCCAGTGACAGCCTCGCAGAGGCCTTGATGCCTGACCAAGCAGCCCCGGGTCTGTCCTTCCTCCGACTCTGGAGCAGAGCTCCCCTGGCACTGAGGCTGTGGGGCCTCAGGCAAGGCCCACGTCTCAGCCCCAGTCTATAGCAGTGCGGGGCTTCTCAGCCTGACCACACCCTCTGCTGCTCCAGGGCAGTCCACAGCCCCTCCAGCTCCGATCCAGTACCCACTCCTGCGTCTGTGTTGGAGGCTGTCAGGAGGCAGCCTTTCTCCAGCTGTCTCCAACCCCCAGCCCAAGTTATACGAATCCTCAGAACACGCCCTGGGCTCTCTGTCCCCCCTCATGCCCCATCTAATCCCCTGCCCCTGTGTGGTCTTCAGGACCCTGGTGATGGTGATGGTAAGTGACAGAAATTCCAGCCAAACCACATAGGAGTAGGGTGAGCTCCAGCTCTCTCCCTCTCCCCCCTTCCCTCCCCATTTCAGCCTGTCTCTCCTCTCTTCCTCCTTTTCCAGTCTCTTGCCCAACATCTGAGCTCCATGGGGACTCCTGAAAGAGGGCCTGGCACCCTGGAGGTGCCTGAGGTTGGGGTCCCTAGAAACAGAGCCGGAGCGGGAGCATGGGGAAGGGCTTGGAGGGACTAAGGAATGCTGGCCAGCTCTGGGAGAACTGTGCTCAGCAGGAGGGCAGCCTCCGCCTGGTCCCAGGGAGCTGGGGCCTCCGTGGCACCACAGACTTGTCCCACCTTGGGCAGAGGAGGAAGCAGCTTCCCTGGCCGAAGGCCGTCAGCTGCAAGGCCTCAGCAGTCAGCATTCCCAGCAGCTGGGACGGAGCGCTTCCCAGTTGCTACCAGAGGCTCGGGTATAGTTGTCTGGCTGCCAGCACAGCGGCTAGAAGCCTTCTCCATGGCACCTAAACACCGATGCCAGGGAAAGCCCGGTTTGGTCTGGCTCCTCCAGACAGGTCAAAGTCACTAACAGGTGGTGTCCTGCCCTGCTCCAGCTCAGCAGTGCTGGGGTCATAGGGAAGAGGGGCCAGACACACAGTGACCGCCACATCTGCGCAGTCCCATCCCTCCAGGGCTAGGTCACCCCACCCTCCCAAAGACAGCTTCCAACATCTGAACCCCAGCCTGTGCTCCGCTCAGCTTGGTCCCAGGACAGCAGGTTCTCATTCTCCACCAGAGACCCCAGCCAGGAAGGCCCGGCCTGCTGCTTCGCTCTGTGCCCCAGCTCGTCCCTCACACCCGTGGCCGTGCTCACCAGGTGGCCAACATGATTCCGAGCATCCACTAATGACCGAGCCGACCCCAGACGGGAGAGCACCATACTTCTATTAGGCCGTTTATAAAAACCTCCACTTTCCCCCTCTGTGAAAGTCGTGACCAGCAGAGGGCACAGCAGGCAGACTGGGAAGAAGTCACAGGCAGGCCTGTCTCCTCTAGAGCCCGGGAGGGAGCGGGCACCCCTCCTCCGCTCTCCTGCAGGTCCACGCAGTTCTCATGTTCTCACCACTCCCCGAACATTCCCTCCGTCCTCCACAAGACCTTGACAAGACCGACGCCCTCACCTTGGTTAATCGCAGGGATGTCCTTGTCCCAGGATGTCTGGGTCCCCTCAGGGGTGAAGCTGTCTGAGAAGCTGCTCCCACAGGCTCCTGGGCAGCTGGAGGCTGGGGGCGCTCCTAGGATCAAACCTGGCCCAGACACACACAGGGCCCAAAGTGCCCCCATCACAGGAGAGGGTGTCAGGACGTGGGGTGGGCCCTCCCTGTGGGCCCTCCCTTCGCTAAGTGGTGGCTATGTGTATGCAGAGCCCCCTCACTAAGGGAGGCTCCAGCAAGGAGTCCTGGGAGCCTGCCTGGCCTCCCCTCGGCCCCGCTGGTGCCCAGGCTCAGACAACTCCAGGAAGAGGAAGGAGCTCCCTGCGCAGGACCAACACTGGCTCCGAAGGCAGCCCTGTGCTCTGAGCACTGGGTGTGTGTGTGGGGCGGGGGGCAGCAGGAAGGAGGGTCAGGGACAAAGCTCAGGCGGAAGCACTGGTGGCAGGGGGCAGGCCAGCCTCAGACCCTGCCCTAGGGCTCCCTTCTGAGCCTAGGCCTCTGGAAATGGGCACAGCCTGGGTAAGCCTAGCCCAGCCAGCAGAACTGGGCGTCTGCAATGCCACACCTGCCAGGCACGCCCTCTGCTCCAGGGTCTTCAGGAGGCCTCCCCTCGGGGCCCCAGGAGCTGACTCCAGGAATATCCCTGCAGAGCCAGGCAGGCTCCAGCCACACGTCCTCTGGCCTCTCCCCAGCACTCTGCAAACTGGAGCAGAGCGGGAGTGAGGCAGCCCCTTACCTGGCAAAGAGAGCACACCCAGCACCCAAGGCCAGAGGCTCCCCATGCTGGGGCTGTCCATGGCGGGCCTGCTGACCCCGCAGCAAGCAGGAGCTGGAATCCAGGCAGGAAGAGGCAACCTAATTACAGACTTAGAGCCCCCCCCCCCTTAAATAGCAGCTGCTCAGGCCCCCACCTGCAGCTTCTCCCCAATCAATTCCACCTGCAGCCCCTCCCCAACCAACTCCACCTGCAGCCCCTCCCCAACCAACTCCACCTGCAGCCCCTCCCCAACCAACTCCACCTGCAGCCCCTCCCCAACCAACTCCACCTGCAACCCCTCCCCAACCAACTCCACCTGCAGCCCCTCCCCAACCAATTCCACCTGCAGCTCCTCCCACTCGGCCTGTGGTCCCCACCACCAGCCTCTGGACCCTGGTCAGATCCTTCCTGGCCTGGCTGAAGTGGGCAAGAGCGTGGGGAGAAGCCAGGTACAAGGCACCATGGGGAAAGGCATCCCACTGGGGGCTGTGCCTCTCCCACCACCAGGGGGCAGAGAGACATCGAAGAAAGGTGCTGAGGCCCAGAGCTGGGAAGTACCTCATCCTCCAAGCCAGAGAAACCCTCTTCCTGCTCTTGTCTGTGCTCAGATGTGAGTGCCTGAGACCCAGAGGCTCCCCGTGTCTATCTGTGGGAGAAGGGAAAGTTCGCTACATTTTTATAAGCTTTTATTTTCACATATATACAGAAAAGGGGGCAATCACAAGCGCGGGAATCAGAGAAAGTTCGCAGGCTGACCGCCTCTTATAAGCAGCACCCAGAGAAGCCTGCGGTGGGGAAGGGAAACTCTTGGGTGCCTAGGCCCTGGCATGGACGCTGCCCTCTCATCCCACCACAGCCTTGCAAGATCGCCGTTGATCCCATCCCACAGGTCCAGAGACTAGAGCTCCTTGTTTCCCTTCCTGCTCCTCTGAACTCCCTGAGCCTTCCCAGAGGTCAGGGCGTGGTCACTGCGAGCCTGCCTGGATTGAAGTCCTGGAGGCACAGGATTTGGGGGCTCCAGTGAAGGGAAGCCACAAACCAAAGATGCCAACTGTTGTCCTCAAGCACCTCTCAGCACCCTGCTGTGCCTGGAACCCCGTATTTCTCAAAAGATAGCACCTGGATCACAGGGAGAAGTGAAGATAGATGCCCCCCCGCCGCCAGGCAGGATATTAACTCGGACAGCTGACCCTTCAATGACAGCGCTTGGTAAAATCATCCTAATAATCCATAGTCACCCTGCTCGGGCAGAGAAACAGATTCTTTGTTAAGAAATGCAGTTTGTCCTGAGGACGTTATGTTGAGTGAAATAAGCCAGTCACAACAGGACAAGACCGTGATCCCTCTGGGAGGAGGGGTACAGCTTCCTAGGCAGGTGTGGAATGGGGGTCGCCAGGGGCCCGGAGGACAGTGGGGAGTTGCTGTTTAGTGGGGACAGAGTTTTAGTTTTGCAAGATGGAAAAGTTCTAGAAATCCACCGCACAACAATGCAGATATGCTTAATATCACTGAACTGTACACTTAAAAATAGCAAAAATAGTAAATTCTGTCATATACTTCTTACCACAGTTAAAACTTTAAAAAATAAATAAAGAGGAAGGAAGGAAAGAGAGAGAGGGAAGAAGAAGGAAGGAAGGAAGAAATACAGTTTGGAAGACAAACTTAAAAGCTGGGGAGAGGAAGGTGGAATGGAGGCGTGCGGTGGGGTGGGGTGGCGTGAGGGAGAAGGACTGGATGGGCTGGGCAGGGCCTCAGCCACCAGTCCTGCTGTGTGATGGGAAGGCCTGATGACTCGGGGCCCCCGATGCCCCCACCATTCCAGCCGGGCATGATGTGGTGGGCCGGTCCAAAGAGCAGCCCCCTCAGGGCCTGAGGAAGCCCCGACGGCCATCCCGGCTCTGCTGTCCACACCAGGGCGCAGAGGGAACAAGGCAGCGGGGACAGGCTGTCCATCCCCCAGCCCTCCTCACGGAGCACGTGCCCATCTGTGCCAGACTCTGGGCACAGGGCTGATCAAACCATAGTTCCTGCCCTTGCAAGCACCAGGCTGGGCTGAGAGGCACACACACCTGCCACACACACACCTGAAAACCTTTGCCTGCCGGGCCATCGGGAGCTGACGCCTCCTGAGAGCCCGCTACGGCAGGTGCAGGAGCCTTACTCAATCCGCCTGCGTCATTCTCAACGCCACCCTAACAGGTGGGGCCAACAAGGAACCCCTTCGACAGACAGGGAGACTGAAATACAGTCTGGTGACGCAAAACTGGCCCCTAGCCGTCCAACTACACTGCCAATTTAATGTATAAATACAAATAATCAAACAGCCCAAATCGCAAAGAAAGGAAAGAACACCCACTGCCCACTGTGCCTTGCCAAGCACTCCAAATGCCCCGAGTGATAGGCGGTGTTCTGCAGGGCGACCCTTGGACGGCGTTTGGGAGGACAAAGTGGTCAGTGAGATGACACCCTGAGTGTCTGAGTGGCCAGGAGTCAGAGGGAAGCTGAAGCAGATGGCCTCTCAGAGAGCTTTCCTCACATCCTCCACCCCCACTCGGCACCTCGAAGGCGCCCTCCACTCGGGCTGGACTGGCCCTGCCTCACATCTCCCCAGACACCTCGTTCCCCTAGTCACCCTGGGCTTGTAGTCAATGTTCAACGAAGTCACACTCGCTGGGTCGGTGTGAAGAGCAAAGCCATCCCTGGTGACATGTTCTCAGTACCAGACACCATGCCACATGCCTTCTGGGGACAGGAGCTCTAGAAGGGGCTATCATGAGCTCCAGCATGGACAGGCTTTCTGAGGCCTGGGGCCCAGCCCAGGGGTGTAGAGGGAGAGGCCTGGCACACACACAGCCTCCGGGAGAGCCACACACAAACACACACAGGGATGAACACCCAAGCATGTGACATGTAGGTGCACGCAGGCCAAGACACCCACACCCATAGGGCAGCCACATACATGGGTGTGCGTACACACACACCTGTCCACATGCTCCAGAAAGGAAGTGGGGTCTGACCAGGGCAGCACGGGGCCTATTCTGAATCATGGACACAGCCTTTTCCCCACAGAACCAATGCCTATGACAGGAATAAGGTTGGAGCCTGTCTCTCAGAAACCAACTCTTTCAGCTGAGACAGAATGACACGGAAAAGCCACCAGCACGGGCGAGCTGAGGCCCAGAGGGCACCTCCTGCCAGGGAGGGTACACATGCCCCTTCCTCCTTCTGTTTCCCAGGCCCCGAGGCACAAGGAAAGGTGAGCTCTGATTAAGAAACGGCTTTTGAGCATTTCCCTGGACATTGACTTGAGACCAGATGCTTGAAAAGTTGTTTTTTTAAACAAAACAATATTTTATTGACACATCCTCAAGGTTCTGTATAAATATAAAGTGCTAACTTTCCAGCCACCGCCCACAGGGCTGGGAGGAAGTAGGGGAGGGAGTGTTAAATGTCAGTTAAACACAAATAACTTTCCAGCACCAACAGTGGCGTGAAATGCTCAAATACACACACAAGGAGGCAGCAGTTCCTGGAGCCCTGCCTTAGGAGCACAGGGCTCGGGCTCCAGGCTCCGGGGTGCACCGTCCCCAGGTGGGGCTCCTGGTTGTCACAGCTTGTTCCTTGGGCTCTCAGGCGCCAAGGGCTTCAACACAGTGGTGGGCCCACTGGATCCATGGGTGTAGAGTCCAATTAGTTTCTGCCAGAGGGTGGGGGAGCAAGGAGTAGACAAAAACCCTCACTCTTGTCCCCAAATGAAGGCCAGCCCTCAGACCCCTAGCAAAAGAGCACCAGGTGAGAGTCCAGCATTCCTGTATTTCCAGCGCCCCCTCCTGGGGGCTTTCCAAACTCCAAGGGGGGACGGTGAGGCCCTGAAGGGAGCACAGCTGTCCCAGGTCGGCTCCCCTGGAACCCAAGATTGTATGCACCTCAGCCCTGCCTCAGTGACACAGCACCTGAGTCTCAAACTGTAGCAGCTGCCCCATGAAACTGAAATTGGGGGAGATGACCCCCCGGCGTTGCTTAACAAAGTCAAAGGCCTCATCCAGCCGCACACGATGGCTCTGTATGAGGTATGCCAGGCAGATGGTGGCAGAGCGGGAGATGCCAGCTTGGCAGTGCACCAGCACCCGGCCCCCACTGTTCTTCACAGAGTCTGCAAGGGAAATGGTGAGAGTCAGATGGGAAGTTGGGCAGGGAGGAGACCATGTCCCAGTTCCTCCCCAGACCCCTCCATCTCCAGGGGTGGAGCCCCCTCCTACCAATGAAGCCTATGGCCTCCTGGAACCAGGCACTGATCTCCACCATCTGGTTGTCCTCCACCGGGATGCTCTTGTAGCGAAGGAGGCCCTCAAAGTGGTTGGGGCAGCTGGCGGAGACATTGAGCACAGCGGTAATGCCACAGGCCTGCAGCCCCTGCAGGTCCGATGAGTGGCTGCAGCTGCCCAGGAACAGGTAGGGCAAGATCTCCACCGGGCCACCCTGGAGGGAGAGAGGGAGGGGCGGGTGAGGTCTACTCTGCCCAGGCCTGGAGGAGCCCTGGGCCAGTCCTGACCAGGACCAGGTTCCAGGGTCTGAGGACACCAAGAGGCAAACAGAGATATACACTCACAGATACACACATCCCCCTCGAGCCCCAAAATTGGCTGCAGACACCCACAGAGGCACAGGAGCACCTACGCCAGGCACACAGAGGGGAACAGTGACAAGAAGCCCAGATCTCAACTCACCTGGTCATAGAAGGGAGCCCTGGGGTCTGAGCGGCTGTTTTCTGCCCCAGCGGGGGCCGTTGCTGGGGCAGGAGACTCAGAGCACAGGTCGGGACAGCAGGCCTGGAAGGCATCGAAGCCTCCTGCGGGGAGGTCAGGGGCACAGTCAGCGGGAGGGCCAGGAGGCGCCGGGCACGGGAGGGCCGGGCAGGAGGGATCGGGCCGTCCTCTCACCTCGAAGGAAGCACACGGAGGTGGGCCCCCCGTGGGTCTCGTGCAACAGCGCGGCCAGCAGCACACGGGCCGGGCAGTCGGGTGGCAACGCGGCCAGCGAGGCGCCGGCCTGGTCCAGCACCACAGCGCGCGCCAGCTCCCCGCGGGCCAGGCGCGCCCGCAGCGCGCGGTCGGGCAGCAGACAGGCCAGGGCGGCGGCGGGAGCACCGCGCGCGCGGCGCCGCAGCATCGCGTTCCAGGGCACGGGCCGCGCGGTGCGCACGTGGCGCCGGCAGAAGGCCAGGAAGGGGCGGCAGTCGAGCAGCAGTGTGCGCTCGGCCTCCCGCGGCTCCCGCAGCAACGCGCCCAGCGCCGCGCACTCCAGCTCGCGCGCCTCCTCCAGCCCCATGGCGCCGGCCTCTTCCAGCGCTTCTCTGCTTCCCCACTGCTGCCACTACCCCTGCTCTCCGCGAGGCCCGCCGTCTGTCCTGGCGCCCTTGGCAGCCGGCCCTTAAGTAGCCTGGCCCAGCCCCCGGGTCACCATACAAGGGCAGAGCAGGAAGGCGCCGGCGACGCCCCCGCGGCCTCACGCGGGTTCAGCCGGGACTGGGGGCGGGGTGCGCTGGAGGAGGATGGGGACCACCTCCGGAGGGAAGGTGTGTGCCGGGGCAGTGAGCCCCAAACACCTCCTGTTTGGGCAGCCTGGACGTTCGCGCCCACCTTTTGATCTGCCCCGCACTGCTCAGTCCTCCGGCAGTGGCTTCTCCTGCACATCCCCCTCCCAGAGACTTCGGGCCCTGGTGCCCCTGCCCTGCTCCTTTCCCTTTGCTTTGCCCCTCCCAGGATGTTCCCCCGGGAATCTGTTACAACAGAGGCTGGTGTGTGCCTGATGCCACTGGTAGTTTCTACACTGGAGGGTGAACTGTGTCTTCTACTAGACCTAGGGCCAGAGGGGCTTGGTTTCCCTTCCCCCTCCCCCATTTCACGGCTGAGAACAACACCCAGGGTTGCACAGCAGGTTAGTGGCCAAACTGGGCCAGAACAGGGTCCTCTGAGGCCAACAACCTGGGCATGGGGGTGAGGAGGACCCCAGCCTGGGAGGGGTGGGAAAGGCAGGGCCCATGATAAGTTTCCAGTTATGAGCGGGCAAGGCTTCTTCCCCAGGAGCCCAGGGAAACCCCATGGGCCCCAAGACAAAGCACTTCCCCAAGTCACAGGCCAGCTCTGAAGGGGAACTCTGCTGACGATCCTGGGCTCTCCCTGGGACCTCAAGGGAATTTCAGGCGCAGCCCCGAGGGGAAGGGAGAGAAGAACTACCAGAAACTGCCTCCTCCATCCCCCAACCCTCCCCTCCCTCAGCCTCCTTAGGCCTACAGCAGACCCCTGGCTGGCAGGGACCCAGGGTTGGCACTCCAGCAAGGCCCTGAGCAGTAGGAAGCGGAAGCTCTCAGCGATCACACCCCTCCTGCCCACCCCCACCCAGCCCAAAGCCCTGGGGCCGGATGTGGTGAGCCCCAGGTGTGTGTGGGGGAATCTGAACTCCAAAGCAGAGAAGTTTAGGTGGGTGGGGACAGTGTCCTAGAGCTGGAGCTGTCCCCACCCCCAACTCCAGTCCCCCTGCCCTGAGTCACTAACCTGTGCCCTTTGTGAGACCCCTCCAGCGCCCCTGCAGGCTCCTGGTACAGACCTCGGAGGACTACAGCTAGGACCCCTGTACTCCCCAGCTCTCCACTGGGCTTGGTGTGTCGGTGCTGGAGATCTGTATGCAATTCCACGATGTTTGACACAGCTTGCTGCTTCTGTGTGCTGCAGGGGAGGGGACACAGGTGAGATACCCCAAGGACACCCAAAATACCTGGGGTTACGTCACTGTCTTGTGCCTCAGTGTCCCCATCAGTAAGATGGGAGCTCATAATAGACCAGCTACTAGCCCACACTGATTCCAAGGCTGTGAGGCCTCGCCATTGTCTGAGCATCTGCAGCCCTCTGTCCATCCCCGTCGGGCCAGTCTGGAGGCTGATTCGGCAAAGCCACAGCAGAGCCGGGGAGTCTGGACCACAGATCCCGGAGTCCGATATGGACCTTATCCTTGGCATCAGCCGGCAGATGACTTAATGGCTGATTCCAGGGGCAAATTACAGAGCACGTGAAAGGATAGTCAGGCCCAGGCTTGCTGGCCATGGGGCTGGTATCACCTGCTGTGCTGGGAGCCCTGGCCTTTCAGCTCCTTGGGGAGGAGTGAGGACTGGCCGGCTGGGATCCTGAATCAGCTTGGCAGTGTGGGGCTCCAGCCCCTGCAACCCCTGCTGGGCTGAGCCTCTTCCCCTCCTGGGGAGAGCGGGGTGACCTTTCCAGAAGTTCCCTGTGGGAGCTGGCTTTGCTCCGGTGTCGCAGGCCTTAGGGCCCTACCCACCATCCGGCCAAAAGCAGTGGGTTCTGCCTGTGGTGGCTGCGTGTATGCAGTGCCCCTTGCTTTGGGCCTGTCCTTTTTCAGCTCCGGAACACAGGCTCAAGGAGGCCATGAAGGATGAAGGAGGGGCTCCCCTACCCCCATTCCCAAACTGGGTGAACCCCCACCCCCATAACTGGTGAAGCCTGACGCCAGGGGAAAAGAGAGGGGAACAGAGTACAGCCCACATCCCACCCTCCTTCTGCTCTGACGATCCTGCGACCCTTGGTGAGTCATGGTACAGTTGTCTTGTCCCCTTTGCTACCTCCTCAAGGACCACCACTTGCCCTGGAGAGGGGAGGCAGGGCTCTGAGCACGTGGTGGAGGACAGGGTGAGGAGGGGGCTCGCTAGACCTGATGCTCACAGGCTGCAGGTCCCGAAGGAGGCTCCTGCTCCCATCACTAGGTCGTGAGGGACGGCTGCAGGTGTGTGCCAGACCCAAGAGGTTTTCTGGATGTTTGTTTTCCTGGCCTGGCTGTTACAGAGCAGATGCCATCGAGTAAATTTGGGGCTCAGCTTTTTTTTTTTTTAATTAAAATACCCAACTGGAACACATGATTATTGGATGTTGTTTTTCTTTGTAACCGGCTGGCTCAGCATCACTGCCCCCCTTTCCGCCTTTCGAATCCCTGGTCTTTCCCTGCCCCACAGCTCCTCCCAGCTTCTCTGCAGTGTCCTGTCCGCAATCACCAAGCACAAAGCTCTGTACTGAGGTTGCCTCCCGTGCATTTCCCTTCCTCCTCCTTCCAAACCCACATGCCAAGCATATGCCCCCAGGGACGAAGGAGTAAATGGACCATGTGGCTACGATGCATAGGCCAGGGCAGGTATGAAGGTAAGAGTGCCGAGTGAGGCCACCCCCAGCTCAGCTTGAGGAGTGAGTCAGGGTGACGTCAGGTTTCCTGTGCCAGGCTTCTACCAAAGCAATGCAGTGGCCACCCCCACAGGCTCAGCCACCCCCACAGGCTCAGCCACCTCCACAGGCTCCAGCCTGGCGAGGACAGTGACTTCATGCTCTATGAAGATGGCCCTGTCCACAGCGGGGAGGACAGACAAAGGAGAGCTATGACTGGAGTCCCAGCCCCAGCAAGGATGGCTCAGAGCAGCCCCGCACATGGCTGAGGGGCTGGAGTCGTCTGCACACACATGTCATGGTGTGTGTGTATACGTAGGCAGGAACACACTTGGACAGCCCCGATGGACACGGGGAATACAACAAGGAGAAAGTCTCCATGGGAGATTGGCATGGCTTTGACACCTCTTGAATATTTGCTTTTCCTCATTTTAACAAACAGACTCAGTGTCTTCCCCAGGCGTGCATTCCAGACCGTGCATTCCTCTCTGCGTTAATTCATGTCTTCATTCACTCAGCCCTCATTCACAATGAGGTGCCAGGCATTGTTGTGGGAGCTGGGGATACGACAGCAAATCACAAGCCACTGCCCTTGAGAGCTGACCTCATTGTTTCAATAATATTTATTTTTGTGATTACGTTGTGTTCATGACAAGTGAGACTAGTTATCCACCAAGAATAATGATATAGTTTCCTTTTAAAATAAATGTTAGGTTTATAACAACTAAGTTGAATGGTACAGATGGTACCCAAAGATGTTACTAAGCGTGATAAGGTAGGAGACAGTGGAGTCAGGACTTGCCAAGGAGAGGGTCCCTGCAGCCCTTCCCAGCCTTGGCATGGCGCCATGCTGCGGCTCCGGTCCCGCCTCCTGCTGTGGGCTCCCATCAGGAGCGGAGGGGAGAGGCAGCAGCGACCCTGAGGAAGGGGGCTGGGCAAGCTTGTTGCCCCAGTCTTGTGGCCAAGCCAGAGCGGGCCCCCTGGTCTGTGCCCCTTCCTGCTCTGCATGTCCATCAAAGGGACCTGGGCTTGGCAGCACCCCTGGATTTGCCTGAGCTTGGGACAGAGGAGACCTCCTCCCTCGTCTTTTCCCTTGGTGTGCACCCATCCCCCGCACACCTGTGGCTCCCAACCCATGGCAACAGTGGACCAGTCCGTTCCTCCCGTCAACCAGGTGCCCCTGGCTTAGGTTCAGGTGGCCGAGGAGGAAGAGGTCATTGCTAAGGAAAAGCTCTGTTTCCAACATAATGGTTGGGCAAGAGGTGAGAGATTCTCAGAAATGTGACCACTGTGGTCAGAGGGTGCATGGCTGTGTCCGAAGAACTCCCCGGGCTTCCCCGCGGCCCAAGCCAGGTGCAGCGTGAAGGGGCACGGGGACTTCGAGGCCCAGAGGAGGAGACTGCTCTTCCCTCCTCGTCACCTCTGACACTGTTACCACCACCCCAGATTTGGCCGGGCTACTCCCACAAAGACCAGTGACACCAGCAGCCAGAGGGCCAAGACAGCAATAGAACGCGTCAGGGGCTGCAGGGTACAGGAGCCATGTCACTTTGGCTCAGGCACAGCAGGGCTGCTTCCTTGGTATGTGTCCCTGGACAAGTGATTTAACCTCTCTGTGCCTTCATTAAATAATAGCGATGACAGCCCTGGCCGGTTTGGCTCAGCGGTTAGAGTGGTGGCCTGCAGACCAGCGAGTCGCGAGGTTGATTACGGTCAAGGACACGTATCTCGGTTGCGGTTCGTCCCTGGCCCTGGTCAGGTTGTGGGGGAGGCAACCAGTCGATGTGGCTCTATCACATTGAGGTTTCTCTCTATCTGTCTATCTGTCTCTCCCTCCCTCCTACTCTGTCTGAAAATAAATGGAAAAATATCCCCTGGGTGAGGAATAAATAAATAAATAATAAATAAACAAATAAATAAATAAAGTATAAACTTGAATATTTAAAAAAAACCAATAGCGATGACCAGCACTGTGCTAGGTGCCTTCTAGGCGCTACTGCATCCAAGCATCAGGACTAAGGGGCAGCCTCAGCACCCTCCCTTTGCAGGGGCTGAGCCAAGGCCACACCAGTAGTGGGAGGACTGAGGCTGGAACCTGGGTGTTAA